ATGTCGAGAGACGTGCCTGCCTGAAGCAAGAGATGAAAGCTACACGGCTGCAGGCAGAATTGTTGAAGCAAAATATGCAAGTCGGGTGCATTTGTGATTATCTTGGAGCGGATAGGGGGCTGGGACTGTGCAGGAGAGAATGGTGCCCCCCTTGTAAGCCCCCAATGTAGCAGAATCCCGTTTGCAAGGAGCGCCTTTAAAAATAATGCTGTAGTTTAAGCGTTCGGGGTTTATCATCCTGAAACTCTAAAAACCCTATACTCTAAACCCTAAACCCTGAACCCTAAATCCTGAACCCTGGCCAGGAGTGAAACCTGATCCGCACAGGCCTGGAGCAGGGTCGTGACGATGGCGAGGGTGAGAAATCCCATCTGACGGAGCAACATTCTATTGAAAGAAGTTTGGGTTTAGGGCCTATAGTCCATGGGGTTTAGGGTTTAGGGTTTCAGGGTTTTGCATGTACAAATGAAGCGCTCAGTGTTCGGGACAGAGGGTGTAAGGGAACTTGACCCTCATAAAAAGAGATCGGCACCACTAGCGGGCTTAGAGTGCCAACCACATGAAGCGTCAAAGGTTCACATTCCACACGCCTGAGTCGGTTTAAGGCTTAGGGGTTAGGACAGGGTAGATGATCGCAACTTGCAAACCTCTCAAGGTGAGAGCTTAGCGCTCAGAATCATACCAGAGACTGCCACTCCTGTGTTAAGGGAGGTGGGCTGAACACGGGCCAATAATCTTGAATGAGTTTGGTACCTAGAGCATAAAGGGCAAAATGTCCCAAAGAGCTCCGGAACGTTAAAGCTGGAACATACCATCCCGTTCTCTATACCCTAGCATCCGCTGAAACCCAAGAACCCTCAACCCTAAACCGTAAACCCTAAACCCTAAACCCTATGTTTGAGCAACCCTCTTGCTTCGTCGGGCACGGGCGCGTGCACAATGGGGCTGGGAGTTCTGAGCCCCTAAACCCCTAAACCCCAAACCCCAAACCATAAACCCTAAACCCCAAACCGCAAACCCTAAACCCCTAAACCCCAAAGCCCCACACTACCAAAACCCTAAACCCTAAACCCCAAACCCTAAACCCCAAACCATAAACCCTAAACCCCAAACCGCAAACCCTAAACCCCCTAAACCCCAAAGCGGCACACTACCTAACCCCTAAACCCTAAACCCCAAACCATGAACCCTACACCCCAAACCGCAAACCCTAAACCCCTAAACCCCAAAACCCCACACTACCAAAACCCTAAACCCCAAACCGCAAACCTTGAACCCCTAAACCCCAAAGCCCCACACTACCAAAACCCTAAACCCCAAACCGCAAACCCTAAACCCCTAAACCCCAAAGCCCCAGTACCTCCCCGAGGTTCAGCCGGGGCAGGTAGAAGCTCAACTGGTGGCGGGACATAGGGTTTAGGGTTTAGGGTTTAGGGGGTTAGGGTTTAGGCTTGAGGAGATTTGTCGTCTGGGTATTTGTTTGAGGTTTGGGATTTAGGGTCTGGGGTTTTTGGTTTGGGGCCATAGGATTTGGGGCTTGGGGTTTAGGACCTCCAGTTTGGGGCTGAGGATTTGGGGGGGTTAGGAATTGGGGTTCAGGGCTTATGGGCCCAGCCATGTTCGTGTGTAGGGAGTGAAGTGCTGGGGTCTAGAGCGGTTTGGGGTTTAGGGGTGTACGGCATTCTGAAGGTGTGATTACCACGCAAGGTCTCACAAGTTTAGCGCTCACACAGCCTAACCCTAGGGGATAGGATTAGGGGGACCCTTGGGGATATAGACCCTCAGAATAAGGTCCCTTGTTAAGAGAGCCAGAAGATGGTTAAGAAGGGGTTCCCTTTTAAGGGTCCCCCTTATCCCACCTAGGAAACCCTGAACACGAAACACTGAACTAGAGCTCAGGGCGGTTGTAGGATCCCAAAACGCCAGGCTCCGTCCCCACCCCCTCTACACCCCCGAGGGTGGTGTTTACCGAGGCTCTAGCCCGCGCAAACCCTAAACCCTCAACTCAACACCCTAAGAACACCCTAATCACCAACCTTCAAGCCCCTAAACCCTATGTAAGCCCTACTGAATCGCCACCTCCCACCCCTGAACCCCCATGAAACCTCCACCGAAGGCCACTTGGTCCCCCCGCAAGAGCCATGCACAGCACGGCCATGTCGAAACCTCCCACCTCGACAGGGCAGAGATCGCGGTGACTCGATAACCCTAACCCCTCAACCCTGCCTCCCAACAAATTTAAAAACACCCGACTAAATAGGGTTTAGAATACGGGATTGCAAGAGCTTAGGGTGTCGGCTTCTGGATGAGGGTGGCCTAAAACTGTCCTTAACAAATGCAAATACCTGGGGTCTAGGATATTCGGTTCTCGGATTTAGGGTGTGCTGAGTGCCATGGCACCAGGGCTTTTAGGTTGCTGAAGAATTCATATCTGAGCTGTCTCACAATGCTCTTCACGCACGAAGTCAGGTTGAGTTCCGAACAGTAATGTGGTTCGCAATTGTGCACGAAAAAACAACAAAACCCTACACCCTAACAACCCTAACCTCTGACAATCCTCTGAGCCCTAAACCCTGAAAACCCTAAACTCCAAAACCCGAAACCTTAAACCCATTACACACAACCTAACAACCCTAACCCCTGAAAACCCTCTGAACCCTAAACCCTGAAAACCGTAAACCCCAAACATCCTAAACCTTGAACCCAAAACACACAACTACGAATTGCTTAAGAACCCCCCCCCCCAAAAAAAAAAAACAAAAAAAAACAGACATATTCTTCCCTATAAGGGTGATATAGGGACTATTGTTTGTTGTTTTTGGGGGGCTCTTAAGCAAACCCTAAACCCTAAACCCTAAACCCTAAACCCATAGACAACCAAACCTTCGATGTTGGGACTCTCCGGGCTTCCGGCAAACGCGCTGATCAACGCGCGGCGGTCCTGGAAACCCATCTCGCCCCCCTCCCTCCCTCCGCTTGGGGTGTGGGGTTAGGGGTTAGGGTTTAGGGTTTAGGGTTTAGGGCTTATAGGCTTAGGGCTTAGGGTTTAGGGTTTAGGGTTTAGGGTTTAGGGTTTAGGGTTTACGGCTTAAGGAGTATGAAGACTACTTAATTGGAGATACACATTTACTTACAAGTAGGGGTATAAGAAGGGTTACTACCTCATTTAGGGTTTAGCGTTAGGCTTTATAAGGGTTTAGGGTACTTGCACTTGAGTGTGCAGGGATATAAGCACCGTCGCCATGGCTATGTATTTCGTCTATAACCAGGCTCGGGGTTATAACCCATTCCTCTAAGTACACATGGACCTCCATCCTTCGCGTTTCGAGTTGCGGGTTGTTCCCCAACACCAAACACACGCAGCTTTAAAGCTTAGGGCGTGTAGCGCATTAGAGTTTTAGGGCTTCAAGGTTTTCATGTTCAGTCCTGAAGACTTACCAACCACCACTGAAATTCTAAGGTTCTAAGTATGGGCCCCTCATTTGGGCCCCATGCGCTCTAGGCCTTTTTTCAAGAAAACTGATGGGGGCTCAGACTTCGGATCCCTATCCTAAAAACACCGGGTAAGGGACCACAGTGGAGGGCCCGTGGCTCCACGCTTAGATGAAAACCGTCTGTCTGAGGGTAGCTTCATGCGCCCTGAATATGGCCCCTACGTCCTTAAAAGACTTCTGTATGGGACCTTAATGCGTATAGGGTATATAAGAGGAATATACGGGGTAACCCTAAACCCTAAACCCTAAACCCCCAAGCCATGTAGCCTGAATCAAGGCTTCAAGCTTTTGATTTCTGGTGGCTTGGGAGGCACAGCAGTGCCTTTCCATCGGCCCCAACCCTAAACGCACGTTGGTAAGATCTAGGGCCTAGGGAAGTAGGATTTAGGATTTAGGATTTAGGATTTAGGGTTTAGGGTTTAGGGTTTAGGGCTTAGGGATCTAGGGCCTAGGGGCCTGAGTAAGTAGAAGAGGGTTTTGTGGGCTAGTATAGGACAACTATACAGGGACCATAACAACTCCGCGCCCAAACGCCACACGCCCTTCTTTTCGCTGCGCTGTCTGCAGGAACGCTGGAGAACCGGGGGATGGAGGGCCCATGTCTTCGAGGGTCTTGGACGACTCGAGGGTTGACCTGCAATCCCAAAGTCCTGCGAGGCAGGTTTCTTTACAGCCCAACCCGCTCTCCCCGACAACAAAACACATCAAAGTAACTTCAAACGCAGAAAGCCGGCAAGAAGACAACACCCTGCATCCCCAAAAGAGCCATGATCAGGTTGCTAAAGCCTAAAGCCTAAAGCCTAAAGCCTAAAGCCTAAACCCTAAAGCCTAAACCTAGACCCTAAACCCTAAACCCTAAACCCTGAACCCTAAACCCTAAACCCTAAACCCTAAACCCTGAACCCTAAACCCTAAACCCTAAACCCTAAACCCTAAACCCTAAACCCGCCTATAATCCCTGGACTCGACACTCCAAGTTCAGCCGACTGACGAGCTCTCAACAAGGAATTGTGGGCTTAGGCTTTAGGGCTCAAGCCCTAACCCCTAAACCCTAAACCCTAACCCTAAACCCTAAACCCTAAACCCTAAACCCTAAACGTAAGCGTTTAGATGGTCTCAGGGACCCCCAGCTGTGCCCTCCGCACTCAGCCACGGCAGAGGCTCCAGAAACAGCTTCGCTTGATCGCTTGCCTTTGAGCGATCTAGCTTGGGATGTAACCCCGCTATCCTAACAGTCCTTAGTAGGGATTCTAATTCATGGTTGGGATGGTATTAAAAGAAAGCAAGTTTCTATTCCCATATTGAGCTTAAGTACCCTAAAAAATGAACAAATGTTACCCCACTATGACAAAGGATTATACTAGGGGGTACTAGAATCCCTATGGCAAGGACTCTTAGCATAAGGGGGAACATCCCAACCTAAGCCTCAACCCTAAACCCTAAACCCTAAACCCTAAACCCTAAACCCTAAACCCTAAACCCTAAACCCTAAACCCTAAACCCTCTTCAGCCCTCTTCTGGCCGTAGGCCGTGCTTGTCCCGGAACCAGGCCTGCTCCTGAGACCTCGGCGTCGGGTCCATGTCTAAGCCCTTAAACTACCATTTGGCTAGGAATCCCCTCCAAAAAAAAAACAAAAAAAAACAAACAGGGCATATTGGCATATAGGGGTATTATATATATATGTATACACACATACACATATACACATTTTTGTTGGGGGGGGGGATCGTAAGCAAAACATAGTAGCAAACCCTATGGAGTATTGTAGGGGCCAGGATCGTAGCAGGGACTGAGGGGAAATGCGCAACTTAGGGTCGTGGGGTTGAAAATCTAAACCTGCAGGATCGTTGAGAGCTTTTGTGGTTCTGAGTAGGGGATGAGGAAATGTCGGGTCCCCAAATAGAACAATGCCTTCAAGGGTCGGCTAGGGCTTTAGAAACTCGACCCAAGAGTAGCCGAGCAACAAAAAGGGTGCCCATTTTGGTTTCAAGGGGCAACCTAACCCTAAAAGAAGAGGGAAAAAGGGCCGAATTGCTCTGGATCTTCGTAGACTAAGCCCTATAAATCCTCAAGCTCATGGTCCCAAGATCTTCCTCAGAACTCAACCTACGCCTTTGCCGGGAGGCGCTTTCTGCTGCTGTCTTTGCGATGCTTCTGGACCGCGTGCCTGCTGGAGACGTGGAGTGTCTGGAGCTCACCCCATTCAGCTTTATCATAAATTAAAATGAACGCACTAAAACCATACCCCCCTTGCAAAACAACACTATGTACATATACATATACATATACATATACATAAACATATACATGTACATGTACATGTACATGTACATGTACATATACATGTACATATACATGTACATGTACATATACATATACACACATAAATAAATAAATAAATAAATACATATATATATATACATATCCCTCAACCCTGAAACATTGCCCCTAAACCCTGAAACATTGCCTTAGCAGCCACGTCCCGGGACGCGCATCCCAGAACACACCGAGTCCTAGCTGCCTCAGCAGTCAACTCAGGTGTGCAGAACCGTGCTGTGGAATGTTATCCTACCTCTGGAGTAGACCCAGAAAAAAAGTATATACTTTTTAGGTATAAGTAGCTCTAATGGGAACCCAAAACCAAAAAAGTATTAAAGTATAGTACTCCAAAGCCCAGTTATAGGGTTCTTCATGGAGAGGGGTTCCCAACGTTCCTCAACACTCCCCACTACTCCCTAGGGCTCCCTCAGCTTCCCTGAATTTGCCTAGGTACCTACCCCCCCATGAAGCCCCCTCCCTTAAGAACCCTAAACCCTAACCCTAAACCATAAACCCTAAAGCCTAGACCCTAGACCCTAGACCCTAAACCCTAAACCCTAAACCCTAAACCCTAAACCCTAAACCCCAACCCCCCGCCCCTTAAGAACCCTATAAGAATGACTCTGCAGGCTGCTCGAGATGAATCACAGCACTTGGGACACATGCTCAGTTCGGGACGGTCCAAAACCGGAAAAAAAAAAATAAAGCCCTGCAACCCTGAAACCCTAAACCCGTCCAGGGTTTAGGGTTTAGGGCTTAGGGTTTCGGGCTTACGCTCAGGGTTAAGGGTTTGGGGTCTAGGGCTTAGCCCCTAAAAAGCCCCAAAACCCTCCACTCGGCGACGTTTTCCACATCGCGGCCTTCAAGCGCTCCGAGATCGATGCAAGCGACAAGGTCTCCTCTGCGAGCGCAAGGCTCCAGAGTCCAAGGTTTAGGGTGTTTAGGCTTTAAAGTTTGGGTTTTGGGTTAGTTTAGGGGTTTTAGGGTTTAGATTTGGGGTTTAGGACTCGGGTGTTGGCTTGCTTTTTGTTTTTTTGAAGCGTTTCGGGTTTTCGGGTGTAGGGCTTGGGCTTGAGGGTCTCGGGTTTACCCAAATCTCTACTGAACTAGGAACCCTAGCAAAAATTATATGCTTTGCTGTGGCTTAGGAATTCTAGTACCCAAAAACTACAAAACATTTTCAAGTATCCCTAGGAAATAGACAAACCGAGTCTTGTGAGTAAGCTGTTTGTAAGTTTACGATGGTTAGTGACTTTCAGGAACCAGAGTAGTATGATTTACGATCATTTTCACAGCTCGTTTAACATGGGAGTCAGAGCATTGGTACTTTGATGGGGCATGAGGGCAACATAGAGGCCCATGATAGTTTAGGGTTCAGGGTTCAGGGTTTAGGGTGTAGGGTGTAGGGTTTAAGGATGTGGGGTAGGTTTGTTTACTTCAGTCAGAGTGGGCGGCTCTTTTGGTTCATATGCGAGTTTGCTCAACACCAAGACCTGTCCACGGCAAATGGTCGGTTGCACCAGAATTCTTGGTGACAAAGTTGGGGGGTGTAGGCGACATACACACTGTCCTAGAAATGGGGATTTACGATAATAAGGGACCCCTGATATAATAGTAGGATCCCCTTATAATCAGGACCTTAATAGGGTATCCCCTGATTACGGAAACCCCCCCAAATCTTGGTTTAGGGTTTTCTGGGCTAAGTCAGACAAGGCGTAGAGGCGTCCTCGCTGTGGAGCTCCACATGCATGCCCAAACTTTTCCTCGGCCAACCATGCTTCTTGGGTTTAGGGTTTAGGGGTTTAGGGTTCAGGGTTTAGGCTTCAGGTTTTAGGGTTTAGGGTTTTAGGGTTTTAGGGTTTTAGGGTTTTAGGGTTTTAGGGTTTTAGGGTTTTAGGGTTTTAGGGTTTTAGGGTTTAGGGTTCAGGGTTTAGGGCACCCTAAAGCCTAATTCGGCTCTCAGCTTCCCAAGGTTTCCGGGCTTCTGCTGGGGGCAAGCGAACACATGCATGTGAAGCTTGTCCGTCTCAGCAACAGAGCTCCTTGAAACGGATTAGGGTTTAGGGTTCTGGGTTTAGGGCTACATATCCCTGGCCCTAGAGCCACTCCAGCCTGCAAATTTTCAACCTTCACCTCTACAGCGTTTTGGGGTTGAGGTTTTTTTTTTGGGGGGGGGTGTGGGACTCCTGTGGGGTCCCCTTAAAAGGCTCAACGGCCATCAAAGAAAGAGCGTCGGGACTGCATGAGGATCCTCCAGCTCCTGCCTCTGTGCAGTGTCGCAGATGGTGCCTCGCACCACAACCGACACTCCTTGGCTGGCCCATAGTACGGAATGAGGGAGGTACCCTTAGTAGAATCCCTAAAAGGGTACACCCTACAGAATCCCTTAAAGGGTATATATATATATATAGAATCCCTAAACGGGTACACCCTATAAAATCCCTTTAAAGGCTATATATGTAGGGCCCTAATTCCCTCATTCCCTGCCAATTAACCAGGGGGTTGGCTAGGAACTTCCGAAAAGCGTGAAGGGCGCAGGGTCATGTAGCCCATCACCCCTAGACTCCCCCGAGTACCCTTCAAGAGGCTTATGGTTTAGAGTTCAGAGTTCAGGGTTTAGGGCTAAACATCCCTAGCGCCGTTTTGCTTCCGAGGGAGCACTGTTCGGAGAAGTTGGCAGAGAAAAGACCCCCAATTTTTCCCCCGCCGTGGAGGCCGTGACACCCTCGACCAGATGCACCGAAAGCCATACATCCATACGACGAAGTGAAATGCGAGGTTCAGGGTTTCGGGTTTAGGCATTTCCTGCACCCTTAACCCGAAATCCTAAGCCCTAAATTCTAGGAAGTCTCCAAACCCTAAACCCTAAACCCTAAACCCTAACACCCCATGCCGTTGCAGCCAGGCTTCGCAGGGTTGCGATCATCTCACGGGTTACACTCCACGGGGCATCCAGCAGCACGTCGTCAACGTAGCGGCACCCAAGGACCTCGGTTAAGGGTTTAGGGTTTAGGGTTCAGGGTTTAGGCCGAAGGGTTTTGGGTTTAGGGTCTAACTTTAAGGCTTGCTGGGGTTTGATTTTTGGGGCTTCAAATTGGGTCGCATTCAGGACGCGTGCTTCGGGCTGGTAGCCTGAAATTCTGGGCCCAAGACCCTTGCAGTAAGAAACGTACCTCAGACTACAGCAAGGCTCCTCTCCTGACATTTCTAAGGAGCATGATCCTCGACGAAAGCCTACGTGAGGTTCACGTGTACTCTTTAAGTGGGGCTACATGTGTCATAAGGTAAGGTTTGTAACCATAGTTGCCCTACGTATGACCCTGCTTCTATACCCTTCTTATGGTAGTACCCATGAACCTCCAAGAAAAGCCCAAAATCTAAACCTAGGATCTCAGGATTCCTACTCAGGATCGATGGTTAGGGATGTCTTCGGCGGAAAGGCATTCCCAAAACAAACACCTAATACCAAACCCTGATCCCTGCGTCGAATGCCAGAGGTGTCGACACAGTATTCCCTTGTGGCCCCTATAGAATTGTTCAATACTAACCCCCCCCCCCCCTATTCCAATTATTCTAGGCCCCTATATTGCTTACTCGGTTCTCGTCAAGGGGGAGTCTTGGCCCTTTCGGGCTTTCGGCTTCCTCTTGAGCCGAGGTTTCAACAGTGTTTAGTCTTTGGGTTTCGGGTTTAAGGTTTAGGATCCCATGTTCTACTAGTAGCTTTTTCAGGGAAACTATTACCCCCCCCCCCCCCCCCCCCCCCAATTGAAGAATCCCACAAGAATGAAAAACATAGAAGGGCTGTCATCTTCTTTTTTCGACGACAAGGCAAATAATAACAACACGTCACCCTGGAACCTTAAACCTAGGCCCTGAACCCTAAAGCCTAAGCCTTGAACCCTCATTCTTACGCCCTGAACCCTAAACCCTAAACCATATGCACTGAACCCGAATCCCTGTGCCGATTGTTCGGAATCGCAGTCGGGTTAGTGCCCGATGGTTCGGATTTGCATTGAGGTTGAGATATTGACGACTAAGAGAGGGTTTAGGACAAGACTACCCATCCAATGCCACTATCCTGAACTTGGAGCCCTAGCAAACTATTTTTAGCTGCTTCTCAGGAATTAACCCTAAACCCTAAACCCTCTTGTAGTACCCCCTCAAGAAATCCCAAGCATCCCTGAGGTCAAGCTTGGGTCGGAGGAAGGCTTAGGGCTGAGCTTTGAGGGTCCTTAGTGAGGTTTGGAGACTCCGGGTTGATAGCCCTAAACCCTAAACCCTAAACCCTAAACCCTAAACCCTAAACCCTACACCCTACACCCTAAACCCTAAACCCTAAACCCTAAACCCTAAACCAAACATGTAGGGAAAGCAAGAACCCTGAGAAGCGGGCGCTGAGCACTCGCTCTTGCATGTTCATGATGGGGTAGTTGGAGCCACGGTGTTGGTTCACCACCTTGGAAGGCAAGTTCAGGGTTTGGGGTCCTTTAGGGTTTGGTGTTTCGAGTTTGGGGCTTGGGCTTTGGGGTTGCTTCGGGCTTTGGGGTGAAGGGTTCAATTAGGGTTTTAGGGATTAACTAGGGTCTAATTATTGTTGAATTTAAGGGTTTAGGGTTCAGAGTTTGGGGGTTCTTTAGGGTTTGGGGACGTGGGCTTTGGAATGAAGGCTTAGGGACATTGAGCTGCCCCCCCACCCCCGGTGGGCTTAGAATACGTGCTGCAAGCCCAAAACCCTGTTCGGGTGCACATCAGGGGCAATTTTTATTCAGGGGCCACTTTCATTCGGATGGGGGGGGGGGGGGGGGGTTTAGGGTTTAGGGTTTAGGTTTTAGGGTTTAGGGTTTAGGGTTTAGGGTTTAGGGCTTAGGGGGGAGGTGGCCCTGGCGCCCATCTTTTCGACTTCGCTTGCCAGACAAAGAGCTCTGGTGAGGCTGCCATGGTGCCGCTTGTTGCCACTCTTAGGGTTGACCGGAGGACCTAGGGTTTAGGGTTTAGGGTTGAGGGTTTAGGGTTCAGGGTTTAGGGTTTAGCAGCCGATCTAGGGGTTAGGGCGTAGGCTTTAGGAGCCGCTTCTTGCAGCTATGATTCGCTACCCACCTGAGACCTATCCTGCACAAAAGGCCAGTAACATACTGAAAGTTCCCTTTTGGGATCTGGACAAACAACCCACACTTCATAATTGCTAAAGAGGCTGTGAAGATTATGGGGTTAATATCGACAACTTCCTGATGCTTGACATTGAGGTTTACAGCCCTAAACCCTAAACCCTAAACCCTAAACCCTAAACCCTAAACCCTAAACCCTAAACCCTGAGGCCAGGTTCAGGTGCACGGGACAGCTACTGTAAAGCCAACGTCCGTAGCAAGAAGCGCGCACCGATCAACGCATCGCGCGCGTGCAGCAGCTGCACAGAGATTGGAGCGCCTGGAATGTTGGCAATCAGTAGTTTCATTGCCAAACGACGGCGCGGCCTGGCGAACCCCTCGATTCGACGGATTCTGCTACATGAGTCCGACGCGACGAATAGACCTTAACAACCCTAAAGCTCCTCGGCAATTAAGGTTGTAGCCATAGTTACCCCACGTAGAAACCCACTGAGAAGTACCCATACCCCAAACCCTAAACCCTAAACCCCAAACCCTAAACCCTAAACCCTAAACCCTAACCTCCAAGTATATAGGGTGTTGTTCCAGCAGGAGGACGTCGATGAAGCCTTGACTGAAGGTGCCCAGTTCTGCCGAGAAATTTTCACCACTGACCGCCGCCCAAAAAACCCGAAGCCTGGCATCACCAAAGCCAGGTTTAGGGGTTTAGGGTTTAGGGTTTAGGGTTTAGGGTTTCGGGTTTAGGGTAAAGCCTAACACCCCAACACCATAAACCAATTTAAACCCATGGGGTCGCCAAGCTCGTCTTTCAAAGCTGGCAGCCACGCCGGCAGAAACTTACTGGTTCGTCGTAGGCTCTATGCAAGTCAGTGCCACGATGTAGGTTTCAGGGTTTAGGGTTAGGGTTTGGGATTTAGGGTTTAGGGTTTAGGTCTGAGAACAGTACAGTCATAACCACAGTCATGATCGAGATCATCACGTCGGTTCTCAAGAAGCCTGTCGAAACTATCATCGATCATCAGGCTCAAATCACAGAACTAGTAATCGGCAAACAACACATGAAACTTGCAACTCGAAAGCATAATCCAACACAACAAGAGCAACACGAAGAATAAGATTACGATGACCATAGAAAGCAAAGTATGCTTCGTAGAAACAAACGAAGATTACACATCTTCATCATCATCATCATCATCATCATCATCGCCATCGTCGTCGTCGTCGTCATCATCATCATTGTCAACATGATCTTCTTCCAACGCAGTAGAGAGATCCGAGTCTCTACTACCGAGCGCCGTCAATATCGGGCTATTGCCAGTGGTCCTTGTCGAAGTCGTCCTCGTCTTCGTCGAAGTCGTCGTCATCGTCATTTTGTTGTCGTCGTTATTGTCGGCTGTTTCTGTGCGGAATACAGAAAAGACCACCCACAACATAGTACTTTCTCGTATTAGCTGTGCCATTATACTATTGTTTATGATGTTTAATTCGACTGTTGTTACACATTCAAAAATGATTCGATTTTGGCGTTTGACCAAACATGGGTTCGAGATCCATAAGGTCCGAGTCATTGCGTTTAGGATTTCGGGCATTGACTCCCTAGCAACAAACCAGTCACGTACAGCAGGTTCTCGGAACCGGAGAGCACATCTTAGTGCCCCCCAAGAAGAGATGAGAGCCCTGCCACTTCAGAACTTGATCGCCCGCAAGACGGGTGTCTGTCTCAGGGCGTCTCCCTCGAGTGCCACCGATGGTACGAGCAGAGTTTAAAACTAAGGGCTGGAGGTTCTAGGGGGTTGAGGGTTCGGTGTAGGGTTTAGGGTTTAGGGTCTAGGGTTTGGGGTTTAGGGTTTAGGGATTAGGGTTTAGGGTTTAGGGTTTAGGGTCATGCGCTGTGACGCCTGGAGGGCCCGGCTGACTCCTAAACCTCGCTGTCGGGGGCTGCGGAGGTCGTGCGCGTACGGCACGTCGGGCAGGAGCCCAAGTGGCCTCCAGGCGACAAGAACCTGGGCAGTGGGGGTTGAGTTCAGGGTTTAGGGTTTAGGGTATAGGGTTCAGGGTTTAGGGTTTAGGGTTCAGGGTTCAGGGTCTAGAGTATAGGCCTGAGGTAGGAAATGTATCTCAAAACCTAGGGTTGTGTTAGGATGCTTAATGCTAAACCCTATACCACCAAAAACCTACAACGAAGCCCTTCACGACGGGCGTTACAAAAGGCAACACTAATTTTACCCCTGGAATGGACGTTGAAAATCATGGTGTTGCAGTGCTGCAGCAGGTGGTCTATGGTCTCGTGACTGCTTTTGTTGTGGCTGCAATGTCTGACAGGCCACTCGTGCACTCCACAGCAGACCCTAAACCTTAACCCTAAACCCTAGACCCTAAACCCTAAACACAACAAGCCTGACGTTCCAAACCGATGAATCTTGTCTACAGCCCTACAGTACCTCTGCATGCAAAGGAGCTAGGAGGCTTCCCAGTCGTGAACAAAAGTCAAGAATAGAATGTGTTTAAATGGATCTGACAGGCAGCCTCACCCCTAAGCCCTAAACTCGTAAAAGCAAAGGGAAGAACAAGGGTCCCACTGGGCCACTGGGGATCGCAACCCCCCCCCCCAAACAAAAACAAATCCCTAAAACCCATGAACCTCTCGGAAAAAACCCTACGTAGCACCATGAAAATCCGTAATGACCTGGCAAAAGCCTCATGGAATTTGGAACCCTTAAACCCCTGGGCAGGGTAAGTGTAGACATTCGGACTTGGGGTTAGGGTTACTCGAAGCCCTAAATCCTAAACCCTAAACCCAGCGCAAAATCCCAACTATTGTCAAGGCGCCAGGCCAGAATGCACTCCTCGTGAAAGACGTGTCCGCAAAGCAAGACAGCTGCTGCAGAGGCTGGCTCAAAGTCGTCCTTGCTAGTTTAGGGTTTAGGGTTTAGGGTTGAGGGTTTAGGTTTGGGGTTTAGGGTTTAGGGTTTAGGGTTCGCCCAGTAACCATCTTACAAACAGGTTACCCTTTCTTGGTTGGTTACTTCATAAGCGAACCCATAAGGGTGCCACTGGGCCACCAAGCGACTAAGCAGCACAGGCACGTCTTTTGAGACGGGAGCCTGCTGCCGCATCTTCTGTGCACCTGACACACCAGGGGTTTAGGGTTTAGGGTTTAGGGTTTAGGGTTTAGGGTTCAGGGTTCAACAGCCCTTAAACAAGTAATGTTCCGATCAGCTCAGGCACTCCCCACCATTCTTTAGGGTTTAGGGTTTGGGGTTTGAGGGTTTGAGGGTTTGAGGGTTTGAGGGTTTGAGGGTTTGAGGGTTTGAGGGTTTGAGGGTTTGAGGGTTTGAGGGTTTGAGGGTTGAAGGACTGTTGTTTTAGCAAGCAAGAGGGGTATTGGAGTCTCTGGGACTACCCAAGCCCGAGGACTTCTTGAAGTGGCCCTCTGGATCTAAGCATGCTTCACCATACTCCAAACCCATTTAACCGATAAAACGCAGATTGTAAGGGATCCTAAGGGAGGATTTTACTATTACCCCATAATTGTTTTTTAAGGGTATGCCCAAGGGGTATGCCAAAATTCTACATGTTTTAGGGTACTTAAACTCAGTAAGGAATAGAAAACTGAATTTTGAGTACTATCCCCTAAGCCCTAAACCCTAAACCCTAACCCTATCCCGACCATGAGTATTTCTTAGATCTGGAGCCATGTCTTGAAGCCCCCAAGTTGCGCCTCGGCGACCGGATCCGAGTCAGTGCCCTCCAAACCCCTAGACCGCTCCTTACGAGGATTTTGTACCCGAATTAAGCCCTAAACCCTAAATTACTAAACCATAAACCCGAAACTACTAAACCCTGAACCCTAAAACTACTCAACCCTAGGTTCCTAAACCCGGAACCCCTAAGTAAATGAGATTGCGGGCTCTGCGCTATGCGTTTCAGGGACTTCGAAGCAGTCTCAAACTTAACCTGAGACTTGGGATGTTGCCCCTATACGAACAAGGGTTCAGGGTCCTTAGTAGGGACTATCTAGTTCATGGTTGGGATAGTACTAAAAACTCAAATTTCCATTCCTTACTGAGTTTAAGTACCCTTAAACATGAAAAAATGTTGCCCCACGATGACAAAGTAACAGTCCTTAATGGGGTATCGTAGTAGTGGGTACGACAATCCCTCTTAAGGACTGCAAGTATAAAGGGGGGAACATCCCAACCTAAGACCCCTAACCCGCGCAAAGCCCCTGAAATCCACCATACTGATTTTGGTCAGCGGTTTCTTAGGAACTCTAGTACCCAAAATTTACAAATTATTCCTAAGCATCCCCAAGGAACCATCTCAAGCCAAAACGCCCCAAAACCACAGTAGGGCTATCAGTAGGGTCGCTGTGGTCATAATCATATTCAGGGTACTTATAACCCACTGATAAGTACCCATGAACCCTCAACTAACCGGAAAACCCTAAACCCTCAGCCCTAGACCCTCAACCGCTAAACCCTCAACCCTCAACCCTAAAACCCTCAACCCGAAACCCCTAACACCCTCAACCCCTCAACCCTATACCCCAAAAGCCTCAACCCTACGAGGTAACCTTCAACCCCAAACCCTAAACCCTTAACCTTAAACCCTACGAACCTTCAAGTGCAGCAGCCCTTGATTGAAGCCCAGGGCACCGGCTTGGACTTCTTCCAGTCGATGTATTGCTGGCCTGCGTCCCCAGAACACCCCACTTGAAGGTTCATAAAGGTTTAGGCTTTTGGGTCCGTAGGGTTTAGGGTTTAGGGTTTAGGGTTTAGGGTTTAGGGTTCAGGGTTCAGGGTTTAGGGTTTCAGGGTGCCTACATGTGGGTCTTAGGGCTCAGGGTTTCCGGTTAGGAGGTTCATGGGTACTACTTCTAAGTAAGGGATGATTCTCAGTAGTGGCGCAAGCAAGGTTGAAACCTACAATATACCGTGAAAAGCTCCAGGCTTTGAACACCAACCCTCCAGCACAAAAACCTGCAGCAGGGTTTATGGCCACCCCAGAACCCTACAAAGGCCGAAACCTAACCCTAAACCCTAAACCCTAAACCCTAAACCCGAAGCCCTAAGCCTTTAGCCCTAAGCCACCTGGATCTCAAGGCCCTGAGGGCCCTGCCTTCTTCCAGGTACACTTCGCGAAACTTGAGGCTTGACACCTGGAGTGCGTCGTACCTGGTCTTCGGTCGCCGGGTTTAGGGTTTAGGGTTTAGGGTTGAGGGTTGAGGGTTGAGGGTTGAGGGTTGAGGGTTGAGGGTTTAGGGTTTAGGGCTTAGAAGAGTTTACCCTAAACCCTAAACCCAAAACCTCAGGGTTCAGGGCTTGGGCTTTCGGGTAGATCTCTACACCTCTGTATTGGTCTTCTGGTTGCTCACAAAAAAGGAGGGAAAAGGGTACCTGGAGTCTGCAGGTCTCCAAAAAAACAGGCGAACAATCGCGCGAACATGCCGAAAAATGCCTGCAAGTTACCCTTATCCCTACACCCTAAGCCCTAAACCCCAAACCCCAAACCCTGCACCCTAAATGCCAGACCCAGGTACCGGCATGGGGCCAGCACGCAGCTGCAGTGCCTGCTCAGTCGGACATCCTGGGGCAAGGAGGGCTTTCGAGGATTTAGGGTTTAGGGTTTCGGGGTTAGGGGTTTAGGGTTTAGGGGTTTAGGGTTTAGGGTTTAAGGTTTAGGGTTTAGGGTTTCGGGTTTAAGCTCTAGGGTTGCAGGGTTTAGACCTCGAGCCTGCCCCCCCCCCCCCCCCCCAATCACTGACGGCAAAACTGCAATGAGCCCCTTGTTATAGGTCACGCATCATCCCCATACTCTAAACACAGCCGAACCGATGTAACCTTGGAAAGAAAACCATAAACCCTAAACCCTAAATCCTAAGCCTAAACCCTAGACCCTAGACCCTAGACCCTAGACCCTAGACCCTAAACCCTAAACCCTAAACCCTAAACCCAAAACCCTAAACCCTAAACCGCAGCCTGGCGTCCTTCCCTCTTGGCAGGCAGGAGCTGGGCAGCATCGCCAGACACTTCAGCTGCCCGGCCAGGATGAAAGCCAAGGCTCCAGAAAGCATCAAGTGCACCCAACCTTGGTGAGGTTTAGGGTTTAGGGTTTAGGGTTTAGGGTTTAGGGTTTAGGGTTTAGGGCTGAGGGCTTGGGTTCAGGGCTTAGGGTTTAGGGCTTAGGGTTTAGGGCTTAGGGCCTAGGGTTTAGGGTTTAGGGTTTAGGGTTTAGGGCTTCGGGCTTAGGGTTTAGACGGCTCTGTGCCCTCAATTTAACCATAATGGCCCATACCCCTTGTACTTTTGGGCTACCGTCATTAGGCTTTCTTTGAGGGTCCCTAGAAGTCATTGCCGGAAGCCTCGCTGTCGGGAAGAATACCTACTGTACACGGTCCGTGTTTTGGGCGGGAGTATTGGGCCAGGGGGATTGCCTGAAACTCTGTCAGCAAAGATGTCATCCAACTTTACACCCCAAAGCCCCACACCCTAAATCCAATGCCTAAGCAACCCTATCATATGGCCCCCAAGCCTCTCCCCCAAACGGTACCACCCCCTCCCGCCCCCCCGAACATTCCCGACCGCCCTAAGTCTTAGATGCTTGAGCATATACCCTAAACCCTAAACCCCAAACCCTAAACCCCGAAACCCAAGACCCGAAAAATTCCACTGCCCGGCAACGCCTCTCTTCATTCTCCTTGCTCTCCAGGGCCATCCTCACATTCACCACCTGGGAACCCCCCCGCAACCTAAGAGGGTCTAGGGTTTAGGGTTTGGGGTTTAGGGATTCCCCTATGAAAAGACCTGATCCCTACTTGGAGGTTTATGTGCCCTTACAAGTAGGGTAGCTACGGTTCTGATCCTAACTTTACTTGAGACACTTCTGACCTACTTCGAAGTACCAATGAACCTCCCAGGAGACCCGAAAACCTCAACCCCGTAAGCCTTATAACCCTGATCAAGATTACAAGCCCCTGAACCCTAAACCCTAAACCCTAAACCTTAAACCGTGCCTACAAGTCGGTGAACCCTAAAACCTAAGCCCGTTTGTTCAAAAATGGGTTGTGTCCGGAAGCCAGGAAACCTAACTCCGCATGCCCTGAACGAAAGACATCCTAAAACCTAACCCCTTAAAGAACAAGAGAGGCTGGTGTAGGGTTTAGGGTTTAGGGTTTAGGGTTTGGGGTTTGGGGTTTAGGGTTTAGGGTTTAGGGTTTAGGGTTTAGGGTTTAGGGTTTAGGGCTACCGCTGCGAAGAGCCACCAGCGCGCTAAAGGTGCCAAAAAGGCAAAACCCACCGACAAGTCCCAGCATGGCGGCCAGCATGGCTTTGGGTCCGAAGAAGCCACTCATCGGCTTTCTGGTGGGTGGGGTTTAGGGTTTAGGGTTTAGGGCTTGTCTTATCTTCTAGGGGACTTAGGGGGTTCAGGGCTGTCGGGTTAAGGGTTTAAGGTCTCAGTTTGGCTTCAGGGAACTGGGGAGACTTTGGGGCGACAGCTTCACAAGCCCCTCCACCGGGCCGAAAATGGCAACGGAAAGGTGTTTAGGGTTCAGGGTTTAGGGTCAGTTTAGGCTTTAGGGTTTAGGGTTTAGGGGTGAGGGTTTAGGGTTTAGGGCTACTGGGCTGTTGGGCTGTTTGGGCTTCAGGTTCAGAGCTAAGGGCATGACCGTCAAGGGACTTCGGGGCTTTAGGGTTTAGGAGCTTCGGGTTCAGCACTTCGTATTTAAAAACTTGGGTTTAGGGTTTAGGGTTTAGGGTTGCTTTGGGGGCTGGTGGCTCAGGGAGGAGCCGGAAACCGCGAAGCCGGTACCAGGTTCCCGATTTCGGGTTTTGGAAGTACTGGGCATCCGAGTACTTAAGTGGCTCGGGTTTGGGCATTTGGGCTTCGAGGGGCATCGAGAAAATTGCACCCCAAAGCCACCCAGAAATGTATCACACCCTCTGTAAATAGCCTTAAATATGGGGGGGAGTCGGGGCAGGAGGGGAACCCGTCCGATGAGTACAAATCCCGAAACCCTACTGTAAACCCTAAGCCCTAAACCCTAAACCCTAAATCTCCGCACGGTCGCTGAGTCAGAATGGACGCCCACGATGAGCAGATCGCCCAAGGCGCGTGCGCGCTTCAGGAGGGAAATGTGGCCCGCATGGAACCTGGCGCAAACATCGTAAAACCTGCAGGGCTGAGAAACAGGGAGGGTTTAGGGTTGGGGTTTAGGGGTATCGGATGCAACTGGTTAGAAAAGCTTGCGCAACTCACCCGGCTAGTAGCCCGACATGCAACACCGACCACACGAAGACATGCAGCATGAGGCAGCATGTGAAAATCAGACACATGGGCCCTCACCCCATAGTCTATCCTTAGAGTTTAGGGTTTAGGGCTTAGGGTTTAGGATTCTAGGGACTACGAACTGACGTTCATAAAACCAAATGACAGGAATGGCTCGCACGCTTGCAAAAGTGGATGAAGGCAGGGAGACTCTCTGGTCGCTCGTCGGGGAGAGAGAGCATCGGCGCGTCTTCATCATAGGCTCCCCTACGTACTACCCCTCTCTACGCTCTCCCCCCCCCCTCCCCTTCATTCTGGGGGGCAACTAAGCGGGGGGGAGGGGGTAGTATAGAAGGGGGTAGTAGGGAAACCCACGTCTTGATGCAGCTTGGGAACATATCCCAGGCCCCATCCACATACACGACCTGCAGACACATGGCCAAGACCAAGCCCCAAGTCCTAAAGCCCAACAGCCCGAAAACCCTAAACCCTAAAACCCTTAGGCCTAAAGCCCTAAACTCGAAAACTCTAAACCTAAGACCCTGAACCCCTAAAACCCTAAAACACTAAAACCCTAAAACCCTAAACCCTAAACCCTGAAACCCTGAAATCCCCAAACCCTAGAATCCTAAAACCCCTCAGCCCTAAGCGGTATGATGTCACGTGGGCGCGGAACGGGCGCTAGTCGGCTGGACGGTCGCGAGAATGCTGCGTTTTCCCAAAATTAGGGGCACCCTTTTGTGGGGGTTTAGGGTTTAGGGTTTAAGGTTTAGGGTTTAGGGTTTCCATAGTTGGGGTACATTGAGGGGAACCCCTATTTTGGGAAATGCACGATTTGCGACAGCCTAGGCCGGCTCTAACGACCAGAGGCTTCACCCAAAAAACCTAAAACGAGGGCCTTCCATACGTTCAAACCCTCAACCCTAAACCCTAGTAAGCACTAAGCCAGAAAAACCCTAAACCCTAAACCCGAAGCCCGTAAAGCCCCAAAACATGCACCAACACCAAAGAGCGCTTAAGCCTGAAGGCCATAAACTCCCTGAGTCTACCAAAAGCCCAAACTTAACCTTAGGGGCTGAAAACACCCCAGCCCAGAATATGTCAACCTTTCATAAATATATATATGTATATACCTATATATATATATATCATGTAATATACTTAATTTAATCTAGTCTAATCTAAAAAATATTATAATAAAAAAACTAAACAATAAAATAATACAATATACTATACGATTCGAAAGGAAAGCCAAAACAGGTTAAAGGTTACCTACCCAGACCCCAAGGAGCCACGATTCGAAGCCCTCAGCAAGCCTTGCCAGGCATAGTAATCATAATGATAACAATAAAAAGGATAATAATAATAATGATAATAATAAAAACAACGACAGTAATGAAAATAACCATAACAATCAAAATAATAGTAATAACAATAAGAATAACAATAAGAAAAAAATAGAAGCAAGCCTTGCCAGGCTTGAAATGCCCTGGCAGAGCGCCCGAGAACGCCCGCAGCAGCTGGGAGGTCACCAGAAAGTTGGACTGCTGTGACCTCAACCAAACAGGTCCAAGAGGAAGCTCGGAAGAAAAGGGTTTAGGGTTTAGGGTTTAACAGGAGAAACGCTTGTCTTCTTCAAATGGGCTTGCAGAGGAACACAACACTGGGCTCAGAGATGCGTCCCTGCTGCACAGGTGTGTCCTTGCTGCATACTTGTATTTATTCCGTTTGCCCTAAACCCTAAACCCTAAACCCTAATTCGGGGTTAGGGCTTCAGGCCTTGGGGGCTCCAAGGGTAACACTGGGCCATCCTGTAGTAAATTGTGGTTTGGGATGCTCCTCCTTATACTAACAGTTCTTCATAGGGATGAAAATAGGGGGTACTATAATCCCTATTAAGGACTGTTACTATAAGGGGGAACCTCCCAAGCTTTGGTTGGTTACACTAGAAGGGAACCCAGAACCAAAACAAAAAAGGCAAAGGGTACCACTGGGGCTACCGAGAACACAGGAGCCGGTTCTGTCCGAATGGGAATATCAGGTGGGTCATACTTATCGATCTACTAGTTGCTGAGTACACTGGCCCAAAGAGGTTAAGCTTTAAAGTATGGTAGGCTTGTATATACCCCAAAAGGTTACAAGTTATCTACCCAGCTACTAGGACCTTAGGGGATTTGCAGATATCATGCGATTCCCCTGAGGCCGCTGCAAGCTTTAAAGCCCCAAACCTCAAGGACCCTAAACTCTACACCCTGAACCCTAAATCCTAAACCCAAACCTTAAGGACGTCTCCTGGGCGCGCGACGCGAAGACCCCTTCAGAAGTGGGATTTCCCGGACCCTGGGACGTGCTGAGGAGCGCCGTGTGATGGTCCTGGTCAAGACTTGAAGGGCTTGGGATGTTCCCCCTTATACTAAAGCCCTAAACCCTAAACCCTAAACCCTAAACCTAACTATAGTATCCCCTATAATCCCCATTAAGGACTGTTAGTATAAGGGGGAACATCCCAAGTTCAATCGGTTGTTTAACGAATTCTGGGAGTTTTGAGTTTGTTGGGGTTTTCGGGTGAGCCTGGGGGGTTGAAAGGGCTTCGCTATGTTGGGTGTGCGTGACGCCTTGTGCATGTGTGTATAATTATGTGTAAGTTGTACAAATCAAATATGAATGTACCTAGATTTGATTAGATTTGTATATGCCCGGCATGTCCGCCTTCACCCCCCCCACCCCCCCAATGTGGTCCGGTCTCAGGGCCCCTGAAGGTCTTAAGGACAGTGCTAGTAGGGTTTAGGGCTTGGGGTTTAGGGTTTAGGGTTTAGGGTTTAGGGTTTAGGGTTTAGGGTTAGGGTATCGAAAGCCCTCAAGCCCGAAGCCCAATCAAGCCCTAGAAGCCCGACAACCCCCAAGCCCCGAAACCCTAAGCCCCAAAACCCTAAAACGCCGGAGCCCTAAAGCCCTCAAAATCCCTCCGCAGCCACACCAGGGGGGGGGGGGGGGTAGCAACATGACCCTACAACCCACCCGAAAACCAACCCACAGCCACACCACCAGGGGGTGGGGGGGTGTGGAGGGGGAAACCTACACCCCAAAAGCCCCAAACACAAGCCAAAACAAAACCACCGCGGGGGGCGGAGGGGGTAATCGCAATACCATTTAAACAAAAAGCTTGACCCTACAACACTAAACCTCTCTCCAAAAAAGAGCAACAAGTAACACTAAAACACAAATCATAGGATATTTCATATAATACACCCTAACAATCATCATAATCATAGTAACAAGCAAAAACCTGTGTCGCTCGCCTGCGTCAACAACAGCAGGCGCCCGACGATGTCAGTTGTGGAGATCCCCTCCTTCGCACACCGAGGCACTGGTCCCATGGTTTAGGGTTTGGGGTTTAGGGTTTAGGGTTTGGGGTTTGGGGTTTAGGGTTTAGGGTTTAGGGTTTAGGGTAGTTGCAAGGTCCCTTAGTATGGGCCCATAACAGGGACCCCTATGCAACCCCTGTATATCCTACAATGGGAGAAGTAGAAGGGTTTGGGGGTTGGGGCTTAAGGGTCTATAGGGGTTAGGGGCTAGGGGTTCGGCTTTTAGGTGTAAGGGTTGTAGCGTTTTAGGGTTCAAGGGCTTTAGGGTTTTGGGACTTAGGGTGGCTCAAACTCCTGCAACACCGCCACCCCCCACCCACCCCCCACCCCCCTAGAAAAAGGGCAAGATACCTTCAGAAGTACAATGGGGATGCCTCCATGGTAGGGGCGACTGTACACCCTAGACTCTCACAAAGGGCTTAGGGAGTCTTAGGGCTTAGGGAGTCTCAGGGCTTAGGGAGTCTCGGGGCTTAGGGAGTCTAAGGGCTTAGGAACTGAGGTGGGCGCAACAGCGCACTCCAACAAAAAGAAACATCTACGGTATGGTCCTTTGGGGCAGGAGTCGTGGAGTCTTCGGGTTCCTCAACCCTGAGCCCTAAGCCCTAAACCCTAAACCCTCAACCTTTCAGGGGACGGGCTTTCAAAGCTTGGCTGCCGGCCAAGCTTCCGTGCGGGGGATTGTGCAAAATCGGCC